TGTTCGTTTGGTGTCAAAAATCTTTTCCACAGTGATGCTATTTGCTTAGGAAGTCCTTATAAATGATATCTTATTGCCATGCAGCTACAGGTTGCTTCATTACCACCATCCAAGCTATAACCACATCTTTGATTAATCTTTAATGAAAATCCTGTTGTGTTAATTTTTTTTAAACCTTTGTTTAATTTTGGTAAACGTAATCTAAAGCACATGTTTGCGATAAACACAAAGCAGAAAATATTGTCTGTTTTTCTAATAATCCGCAGCCTTCCAGTGGATCCAATTTAAACTCCCTTTTTTCTTGAGTGCATGTTCACCAAATCTGTTTTGGTTTAATGACGACTGTACCTGTAATTATTAGCTGTTGCAAATTATATTTAACTTATTAAATGTAGCCATTTGATAGCCTGAAACAAAAATAACTCCTGCTGTTTTTCTCTTTTTCGTCCCAAAGGTACTTGGCCACCGAGGGTCAGATAACTGGACTGTTCCTCCTTGCTTTCCTCGCCATGTTCACAGTGAGGATTTTCCAGCAGCGTAAAGGTCTCGCCCCGGACAGCAACAGCTCCTTTCTCTTTTATAGCTTCAGCGTTACTCTGCTGCTCGTGTTCCTGTGGGTGGCCTATTTGTGGGACGACCCGGTGCTACGCAACAAATACCCCGGACTGTTTTATGTTCCAGAGCCCTGGTCCTACTACACCTTACACATAAGGGAGAGCCACTGAATCGAACGTTCAAAGTCTAAATATAAGAGCCATCGGTGTTTTTATGATGTGACCGATTATTTCTGAAGCGCAGGTGAAACCTATAACCCAGACAGTATTCAGGCAATCCCCAAAAACCTGCTGAGCACCGGCTTTTTTGTGGTATTTTTAGGATACGAGAAAAACACTTGTGTGGAGAAAATGTTCTTTTTTTTTTTTTTAAAGATTTTTGCATTTTTAAATGTTTTGAGGATTGTTGTCTATTAAAGTTAAAGAGTATTTACCCACTAAAGAAAAAGGAGTATGTTCCCGTTCCTCGTTAATCTGTGTTGCTCATTATCCCAGTTGGTCTCATCCGGACCTGAAGCCTACCGTATGTTTTAATGTGCTACTGACATTTTTTGATGATGCATACCATCATGAGAACAATACATCGACTCATATTTTCAAGCAAATGTATTCGGATGCTAAATCTTGCACATGTTGAAATGTTGCAGAAAAACAGTCGCATTAACCAGAGTGTGAGACAAACAAAGTCTCACCTCAAAGGATCCTATTATTCTCTTACTAAACCAGTCGATATAAATCTTTCAGCGTCTCAGAGGAAACACGGTTGCTTCTCTGTGGCTTACAAATGTGGAAACAAAAGTGATTCCTGACACATTTAAGGAAAATAATATGCATGCTTTGTATTGTTTTTGCTGCAAAACCTAAAAATAAGAGTCAAAGAGGCTCTTTCCTCCACACCATCTGTTTTAGGTCAAACATTTACAATGCGTTAACACAGAGGGGAGTCGCCGTGCTTGGCGTTTGACTGGGAAGCTGCGTACGTTAACGTGGCGCTCTCATATCCTCCACTGCTCTGTTTTCACTCGATGCACCAGATGTCGGCGGAAGGGATTTAGTAACATTCAGCATCTGGATGTTTCTCAGAGATGATGCACTGCAGAATGCGACATATCT